GTCTGTGAGTTTATTTCTGTTTTGTAAATAAGTTCATTTGTATCATACTTTAGATGCCACATATAAGTGATATCATATGATATTTGTCTTTCTTTTGTCTGACTTACTTCACTTACTATGACAATCACCAGGTTGCTGCAAAAAATCATCCATGTTGCTGCAGATGGCATTATTTTATCATTTTTTATGGCTGAGTAGTATTCTATCACATACATATACATACACCACAATTTCTTTATCCAATCATCTGTCATGGACACTTAAGTAGCTTCCATGTCTTGGCTATTACAAATAATGCTGCTATGAACATTGGGGTGCAAGGATCTTTTAGAATTAAGAGTTTTCTCAGAATATATGTCCAGGAGTGGGATTGCTAGATCCTATGGTAAGTCTAGTTTTAGTTTTTTAAGGAACCTCCATACTGTCTTCCATAGTGGGTACACCAATTTACATTCCCATCAGTCTAGGAGGGTTCCTTTTTCTCCACACCGTCTCCAGCATTTATTATTTGTGGAGTTTTACATTTTAGCCTGTAATTGCACTTAAAACCATGCGGCGATATTGCGCGCTCCCGGACCAGCCTGAGCCACCTGGATGAACGTTCATGGTCCACGGGGCCTGCTTTTCTCCTTCTGCCCATGGCCCCTCGCTTCCCCTCCCTGTCTGTAGGTGGTGTGCAAGGTGGGGTGCTGAACCCGGCCCCGTTGGTTTCCCACCCCCTGCTCACGCATTGGCGGGGGTCAGGGTCCTGGGACGCAGCGGACACACTCTCCGCTCGCCTCCCGGGCGTCTGCCTCCCATGAGCAGCCCTCCCCCGGCGGGGGCGGGGAGTGTGTCCCGCCGCAGAGCCACGCGCCCCCGTGCGTGCGTGAGCGTGTCTCGCCCGGCCCTCGGCGTTGGTGCCCCAGGAGCGCTGCAGGTCGTCCCTCAAGTACTTGAGGCGAGCGGTGGCATAGTAACCTGTCCCCAGCGAGCCCCTCGGGTGCCCACTGCGGTGGCGCATGCAGAGGGCAGCACTCTTGGGGGTCTAGACCGTAAGTGAGGCACGGCCGACCCCCTGGTAGGCTAGGTGCCGCCTCGTCGTGGCCGTCCTCACTGCAAGCCACGGGGAGCTGAGTTGTTGGGCGCACGCCGTGGGCTTCCCCCTTTAGCCGGGGTTGCAGGCGGGCGTGTGAGGAGCGTGGCTAGCTGGGCGGTGTGACAAGGGGCTGGGCGGCGTTTTCAACAAACCTCCTCATGAGGAACGTGAGGCCTTCCCGGCCTTGACCACGCACGCGCACGTTGGCCACATGGGTCCCGCTGCCGCAGACCCAGCCCCGCGCAGCCGAGAACCAGCACCGCTCGGAGTACATCTGTGGGCCTGATGGGGAGACGATGGATGGGCGACGACGCACCCTCGGAGAGAATGCCTTTCCTAGTGATCTGAGAAGGAGCCTTAGGGTACCTGAACCCCAGCCGCAGCCCCCATAAAGGGCACAGTAGCTGCCGGTGCCACTGTCACGGCGCATGGGCAGAACCCCTCATCTTCGCTTTAGGAGTGCACCGGCCCCATAGTGGGGCCCAGCGCCACTCTTTAAAATAAAACAAAAAAAGTCATTGCGTTTTAAGAATAAAGGAGTCTGCAAGCCTGTCCACTCTTCACCCTGCCTCGTTGACTTAGGTTGGACCTGTGGCATGAGAGAGACGTAAACTTTGTTAAGTCACTGCGAATGTGGGACTTTTGGTTATATAAGCCAGTGTTACTTATTGTGTAAGAAAAGCGAGTACAGGGGCTCAAGCTAAATTCTCTTGGAAGCATCAGTGCTGCTGCTGGGTTTTCTGCCTGTTCTCTCCTTTTACTTTCTGTACCAGAACTCAAAGGTGTCCACTTGCCTAGTGATAATCAGACCTTAGACGCCAGAACCAAGAGCCAAAGCACCAGCTCCCTGAGTCGAGGTCAAGAACAGCTTGTAGTCGGCATTTGTGTCTATTTGGGTCCTTAAAAAAAATAGCATGCCTTTGGTGGGAGAGAGGTTTGTAAATTCAGAGAGGTTTGGTATTGACCGGAAAAAAGAGGGGAGAACTGAGATGGCAAATCACATCAGGTAAGATTTCATATCTTGTATTGAACTGTGCTGGTGGGTGAAAAACTGGTGGGAAAGGAGAGAATTTTTGTACTTTTGGAAAAGAAATGCCACAATAAATGTGGATAAAATGAGGGGACCCTGAGAGGCGAGCACAGACAATGTAAGAGTTAACTTGTGAGGTGAAAGATCAAAAGCAGTGAATGCAGAGAAAGGGATAGACGAAGACATGCTTTGAAGGCAATAAAACAAAAGTTGGTGATAAACTTTAAAGATGGGAGGGAGATGAGTTAAAGGTAACTTAAAAATTTCAAGGCTTGACGATTTGAGAAAATAAATGGTAGTGCCATTAGGCAGTGACAGCAAGTATTTGGGGGAGGCATAATTGTTTTTTATTGACGTTTAGTTGACATACAGTATTGGTTTCAGGTGTACAACATAGTGATTCATTACATCTCCATGACTTCTTTATTGTATGAAATGAAAGCGTGTACTTCTAAATACTTTTCACCTCCTTTGTCCATCCCTTCAATCCCTTTTCCTCTGGTAACCACCAGTTTGTTCTCTATATCTATGACCCTGTGTCTGTTTTATTTGTTTTTTAGATTCCACATATAAGTGAAATCATATGGTATTTGTCTTTCTCTCTGATTTATTTCACTTAGCATAATAATTTCTAGATGCATCTATGTTGTTGCAAATGGCAAGATCTCATTATTTTTAGTGACTCAGTAATATTCTGTTGCATATATTTATCATATCTCCCTTATCCATTAGTCTATCATTGGAAACTTAGGTTACTCCCATATCTTGGTTATTGTGAATAATGTTGCAGTGAACATATGGGTGCATATATCTTTACAAATTAGAATTTTTGTTTCCTTCAAGGAAATACCCAAGAGTAGAATTGCTGGATTGTATGGTAGTTCTACTTTTAATTTTTTGAGGAACCACCATACTGTCTTCCTTAGTGGCTAGATTAATTTATAATCCCACCAACAGTGCATGAGGGCTCCCCTTTCTTTACAACCTCATCAACATTTTTGTTGTCTTTTGATGATGGCAGTTCTGACCTGTGTGCAGTGATATCTCATTGTGATGTTGGAGAATTTCCCTCATGATTAGTGAGGTTGGAGCATCTTTTCATGTGTCTGTTGATCATGTATATTCTTCGTTGTAAAATGTATTCAGGTCCTCTGCCCATTTTTGAATAGTATTGTTTGTTTTTTGGATGTTGGGTTTTGTGAATTCTTCATATATTTTGGGTATTAACCCCTTACAGAAAATATGGTTTACACATATTTTCTCCCATTCAATAGGTTGCCTTTTCATTTTGTTGGTGGCTTCCCTTGCTGTGCAAAAGGCTTTTAGTTTGATATAGTCTAATTTGTTTATTTTGCTTTAATTTCCCTTGCCTAAGGAGACAGATATAAAAAGCTACTGCTAAGACTAATGTCAAAGAGTGTACTTCCTATATTTTCTTCTAGAAGTTTTTTGGTTTCAGGCATTACATTTAAATCTTTAATCCAGTTTGAGTTTATTTTTTTTTACATAGTATGAGAAAATGGTAGTGTTTCATTCTTTTGCATGTAGCTGTCCAGGTTTCCCAACATCATTTATTTAATGAGATCTTTTCCCTGTTGTATATTCTTGCCTCTTTGTCATAGATTATTTGACTATATAAGCATGGGTTTATTTCTGAGCTCTCTGTTCTATTCCATTGACCTATGAGTATTTTTTTCTGCTAGTACCATATTGTTTTTTTAATTTTTATTTTTATTGAAGTATAATTGCTTTACAATGTGTTAGTTTCAGGTGTACAGCAAAGTGATTCAGTTATACATAATACATATACATATATATATTCTTTTTCAGATTCTTTTCCATTATAGGTTATTACAAGATGTTAAATATAGTTCCTGGTGCTATACAGTAGATCCTTGTTACATATTTATATATGTCTAAATCTATTTTATATATAGTAGTGTGTATATGTTAATCCCAAACTCCTAATTTTTCCCTCCCACCACCTCTTTCCCCTTTGGTAACTATAGTTTGTTTTCTATATCTGAGTCTATTTCTGTTTGTAAATAAGTTCATTTGTACCATTTTTTTTTAGATTCAACATGTAAGTGAAATCATATGATATTTGTCTTTCTCTGACTTACTTCACTTAGTATGATAATCTCTAGGTCCATCCATGTTGCTGCAGATGACATTATTTCATTCTTTTTTATGGCTGAGTAATGTTCCATTGTATACATACCACATCTTCTTTATCCATTCATATATCAATGGACATTTCATACTGTTTTGATTGCTATATCTTTGTAGTATAGTCTGAAGTCAGGGAGCCTGATTGCTTCAGCTTGTTCTTCTTTCTCAAGCTTGTTTCCCTATTTAAGGTCTTTTGGATTTCCATACAAATTTAGCAATTTTTTGTTCTAGTTCTGTTAAAATGCCATTGGTAGTTTGATAGGGATTGCATTGAATATGTAGATTGCCTTGGGTAGTATGGTCATTTTAGCAATATTGAGTCTTCCAATCCAAGAACACAGTATATCTTTCCATCTGTTTGTGTCATCTTCAGTTTCTTTCATCAGTGCCTTATAATTTTCTGAATACAGGTCTTTTAGCTCCTTAGGTAGGTTTATTTCTAGATATTTTCTTCTTTTTGGTGCTATGATAAAAGGGATTGTTTCCTTGATTTCTCTTTCTCATTATTTGTTGTTAGTGTATAGAAATGCAACAGATTTCTGTATATTAATTTTGTATCCTGAAACCTTACAAATTCATTGATGAGATCTAGTAGTTTTCTGGTGGCATCTTTAGGATTTTCTATGTATAGTATCATGTCATCTGCAAACAGTGACAGCTTTATTTCTTCGTTTCCAATCTGAATTCCTTTTATTTCTTTTTCTTGTCTGATTGTTGTGGCTAGGACTGCCAGTGCTATGTTGAATAAAAGTAATGGCACATAGATATTTACTAGTGTTATAGTCTCTTGTTGGATTGATCTGTTTATCATTGTGTAATGCCATTCTTTATTTCTTGTTGCAGTCTTTGTTTTAAAGTGTTTCATCTGATATAAATGTTGCTACTTCAGTTTTCTTTCTGTTTCCATTTGCATAGAATATCTTTTTCCATCCTTTCACTTTCAGTCTGTGTGTCTTTAGCTCTGAAGTGAGTCTTTTGTAGGCAGCATATGTATATGGGTCTTGTTTTTTTTTTAATTAAAAACATTTTTTTTACTCCATTCTGCCATCCTATGTCTTTTGCTTGAACATTTAGTCCATTTACATTTAAAGTAATTCTTGATAGGTATGTACTTATTGCCATTTTGTTAATTGTTTTCTGGTTGATTTTGAAGTTCTTCTCTGTTTCTTTTTCTGTTGTCCTCCTTCGTTTTTGATTTGATGACTGTCTTTAGTGTTATGTTTGGATTCCTTTTGGTTTAGTTTTTTATTTTTTTTGAATCTATTAAGAGTTTTTGGTTTCTGGCT